TTGCAGCAAAGCCATCCACTATGACCTGCACATTTCCCAGGGTCACTACCCTTGATATCAGCAGATCTTTGATTGCGTGGGCTACTTGCATCACAGCAGCCCCCACAGTAGATTTGCCCACTCCAAATTGATTCCCAACTGACCGGTAGCTGTCTGGCGTTGCAAGCTTCCACAGGGCTATCGCCACTCGCTTCTCAACTGTGAGGGCTGCTCTCATCTTGGTATTCCTGCGCTTCAGGGCAGGGGCAAGCAAGTCACAAAGTTCCATGAAAGTGCCATTACGCATGCGAAAGTTTTGCAGCCACTGGGAATCGTCCCAGACCTGCCACACTATGCGGTCCCACCACTCTGTGCTTGTTTCCCTAGCCCAGCATCAGCGTTCCACAGCATGAACCTGCCCCATTAGCACCATGATGCATGCATTGTCAGGGCCCATGCTTTCAGAGAAATCTGTGTCCATGTCCTGATCACTCACGTGACGGCGCTGATGTCGCCTCTTCGCCCGGTATCGCTCTGCCAGGTTCTGGTGCTGCATATAGTGCTGGATAATGCGTGTGGTGTTTAATGTGCTCCTAATTGCCAAAGTGAGCTGAGCGGCCTCCATGCTTGCCTCGGTATGGCGTCTGCACAGAAAAAAGGCGCGGAACGATTGTCTGCCGTTGCTCTGATGGAGGGAGGGGTGACTGACGACACTGCTTACAGGGTTGGCTTAAAGGGAATTAAAATCAACAAAGAGGGTGGCTTTACATCAAGGAGTATTTCAGGCAGGACTTCATGGAGGGTTCCAATAAGAAATGATGCACCTAAGTAATTGTTCTTATTGGAACAAGCAGGTTGGTCTAGCCTCTGATTGATACATGGCTAGATTTACCTCGCTGCACCTTCTCTGTGAGTGACTGCAGTGTGACCTAGAGGAATGAGTCCCCTAGACGGCGGAGAGGGGAAGCAAATGAGTACAAAACAAATCTGGTCTATTTCTTGTTTTGATACACGCCATCTATCTTTTACATCTTTGGCTGGCAGCAGAGGGTGCAGAAGGACTGCATGCCATCCGCATCTCATGGCTGCTCAGCAGAAGACGGTGCAGTAGGACTGCTAGCCATCCTCATCTCTTGCCTGCCTGGCAGAAGATGGTACAGTACGACTGCTAGCAATCCGTATCGCCTGCCTGCTCACCATAAGATGGTTCAATAGGACTGACTGCAGGACTAAAGAGAATGACCTGGTCAAGTCACTCCAAATTTAGTCTCTGCGCCCATGTCTGCCCAGGCGCTCCTGGCCGACGTGGCCAGGAGCAACTCGGACATGATGATGACGGCTACCAGTTGTATTGTACCGTCTGCTGCCACAAGGCAATGGGTTGCTGCTACTGTGTAGCAATGCAGTACCACGTCTGCCAGCACCCAGGAGACATACGGTGACGGTTACCTGAGCGGGCTCCATGCTTGCCATGGTATGGCGTCTGCACAGGTAACTCAGGAAAAAAGGCGCGAAATGATTGTCTGCCCTTGCTTTCACGGAGGGAGGGAGGGAACGGGGGCCTGACGATATGTACCCAGAACCACCTGCGACAATGTTTTAGCCCCATCAGAGTGCTCCATTGAGACTGCTCTGGACAGCATTCTCAACTCAGATGCACGATTGTTTGCCATTGCTCTGACGCAGGGAGGGGTGACTGACAGCGCGGCTTACAGGGTTGGCTTCAGGGAGCTAAGATCAACAAAGGGGGTGGCTTTACATCAAGGAGTATTTCAGGCAGGACTTCACAGAGGGTTCCAATAAGAAATGGTGCACCTAAATTATTGTTCTTATTGGAACAAGGAGGTTAGTCTGGCCTCTGATTGATACATGGCTAGACTTACCTCGCTGCACCTTCTCTGTGAGTGACTGCAGTGTGACCTAGAGGAATGAGTCCCCTAGACGGGGTGGGGGGGGGGGAAAGCAAATGAGTACAAAACAAATCTGGTCTATTTCTTGTTTTGATACACGCCATCTATCTTTTACATCTTTGGCTGGCAGCAGAGGGTGCAGAAGGACTGCATGCCATCCACATCTCATGGCTGCTCGGCAGAAGATGGTGCAGTAGGACTGCTAGCCATCCTCATCTCTTGCCTGCCCGGCAGAAGATGATGCAATAGGACTGCTAGCAATCCATATCGCCTGCCTGCTCACCATAAGATGGTTCAATAGGACTGACTGCAGGACTAAAGAGAATGACTTGATCAAGTCACTTCAAATTTAGTCCCTGCACCCATGTCTGCCCAGGCGCTCCTGGCCGACGTGGCCAGGAGCACCTCGGACATGACGATGACGGCTACCAGTCCTATTGCACCGTCTGCTGCCACAAGGCAATGGGTTGCTGCTACTGTGTAGCAATGCCGTACTGTGTCTGCCAGCACCCAGGAGACACACGGTGACAGTGAGCTGAGCGGGCTCCATGCTTGCCGTGGTATGGCGTCTGCACAGGTAACTCAGGAAAAAAGGCGCAAAACGATTGTCTGCCCTTGCTTTCACGGAGGGAGGGAGGGAACGGGGGCCTGACGATATGTACCCAGAACCACCCGCGACAATGTTTTAGCCCCATCAGGCACTGGGATCTCAACCCAGAATTCCAATGGGCAGCGGAGACTGCGGGAACTGTGGGATAGCTACCCACAGTGCAATGCTCCGGAAGTCGACTCTAGCCTCGGTACTGTGGAAGCACTCCGCCGCGTTAATGCACTTAGAGCATTTTGTGTGGGGACACACACACTCGAATATATAAAACCGATTTCTAAAAAACCGACTTCTATAAATTCGACCTAATTTCGTAGTGTGGACATACCCATAGTGTAGACCAGGGCTAAGATTCTATACCCATCCAATCACATACCTCTACAAAAGGTGCCCAAACAAGCGTAACTCCAAACAGCTCAGATGATTCAGTTGAGGAAATATTCTGGTTCAAAAAGCTAGATTTAGATCATTTGCTAAAATCTAAAGAGCTGTTGCTGTACAAAACTGTTTCACACAATCAAGTGGCACTACTACCAATATGGGCCTGGTGAAGAGCCAGACCGCCTAATGCAAGAGAGTAGGCAAAGAAGAAAAGTCTATCATCAGTTGGCATAATATTGCACTTTTCTTGGCATTCTGGTTGAAAAGTATGATCTAATTTCCTGGGATTACTCTGGTCTGTTCCAACTGCATGGAGTTTGTTGGAGTATTTTTAATTCCATAGGCAAAACATGCTAGAAGATGCCTTCTCTTACAAGCTTATGCTCAAATAAATTGTTTAGTCTCTAAGGTGCCACAAGTACTCCTCGTTCTTTTTTCTCTTCCAAGTGTAAATTATGAAATTAAGCAACAATTAATTGATCTTGTGGTATAAGAGTAATCAAATTTCTGCTTAGTAAGATGATACTCCACCCTTATTCAAAGAAGTAGGATATGTTTATTTCAGGCTGTATCACTCACAGCATTATGCTCAATGAAGTGCAGGACTCCCCCCATGTGGTATCGCTACTCATATATGGGAGGACATAGCCATGGACGAGTTTGTCATTAGAAATTTTTTGTTATAAGATTTATGATCTTCTATCAATGGCTCTGTTATGAGTCAGTCTTTCTATGGTGATTCTGACAATTCAAAATATTTAGTCACATATTTTCTATTGATTTCCATAAAGCTGCAGTTTTCTTGAGCTAGTGCTTCTGTGTAACTTCAATATGCGTATGCCTTGAGTTAATAGAATAAGAGGATAGCAGAGGTAAGTCATTCCAAGAATGTTTGGCTTAATGAGGTTGGTCATATAGCTGGTTAAAATTTTTCAAAACAAAGTCTTTTTAATCTCCAAACCTGCATAAGGCAGTGGTCCTGTGGTCATATAATTAAAAAACTATCATAACGCATATGAAGAAAGGGACTGAATTATGGTTGCACAGGCAACCTGAATTCTGACTTTTCCTAACTTTTGAGTGCTTGATTTTGCAATCTTAATAATGTTTGTTTAGCGCAGTGGTTTTGGATATAATATATAATATTGTAGACAGGTGCATATGAAAAATAGGTGTATAGCATATAGTACATATTTATTAATTCTATTAGTTCTTTTACCTATGGTATTATGTTCTCTTTAGTATCCTAGTAGCTGTGAAATTATTGCCAAGAATAACTTAGATTGAAAGATCTTTCTTAGTAAACGTGGTCACATGGCAATCAGTATTAGCTGAAACACAATGTACTGTACATACTTTTAAGCCCTAAGTAATAAAAATTCTTGAAGGAGCCAACCAAAGTCCTTAAGATTGACTTCCATGCCCTGATATCAGCATCATTAAGTGTTGGTAAAACAGGACCATCCTTTTTCCTGACTCTTTTGATGGAGTTGGAATTAGAGCACGGTAATTTCTTAAAAATGAAAAACAAACAACATTTCTATCAAAGTGTGTGTTTTCAGAGTCTTCCTTTCAGTGGCCAGGCTTGCTACAGGAAAGGCTCCTTGTTTTCTGTTGTCCCCTCTGGTTGAACAAATGAGGGTACCTACTGAATTTAAACACGATTTGGTGGGTTTTTCCTGAGCACAACTTCCTTGTGGTGGCTTCCACCTCAAGATAGGTGTGAAGGCAAGAAAGAAGGATGTGGACTGTCTGCCTTCAATACTCTTTTCTATTCACTGAAGGAGAACATATCTTGATGGCTGTCTTTGCTGAGTCCATCTACCTTCATACTATTTAAACCATTGGCAGAAGAGGGGGACAGCATGAATCTGCCTTTTTTGAACAGGACATACTCTGAAACTGCATTGAGAGCTCCTCTAAAATCAGTCATCCTCAGATCTAGTAATGCGGTATAATACAATGGTATGATATGATTATCAGTCTCTTGCAGCTAATCTTACATTCTAAAATGGTACCACAGCATTGCACCAAGATAGTATGTACCACTTCCAATATGTCCTGCCTGAGAGCTTGAAATCCTGGAAAAAGCAGTAAAAGTGAGTGTCACGGGGTCCACTCACCGCAGGTGGCACCTCCTCCTGGTCGGTCTGGGAATCAGCTCTCTTCAGTTCCAACGCCCCCTTCTGCTTCTTGCTGTATGCTTTATTGCCGCTCTCTCTCACAGCAACTCCATCTTCGTGCCTTGGCCCTCCAGCCAGGTCATTCTACATGCTTCCTCCATCTGGGGTATCAAAATCTTTCCTCACTATCAGTTTCTGGCCATCTTCCCATTTACTGCCCCCATGCCACTCCCTCAGTTGTTGGCAGGGGAACCCAGGCCCACCCTCTACTCCAGGTTTCAGCTCAGGGACCCTTTTGTCAGCAGCCAACATGTGTTCACTCCTTGACTTTACTACCTTTCCCTGAGCCCTTTCCTTACCTTCTAGCTCTCCCCCTACCTCTGGGTTTGCCAGCCTCACAACTCCCTCTTCCCAGGGAGTAATTGTAAGCTGGTGGTTCTCAACCAGTAGTATATGTAACCCTGGGAATATGCAGAGGTCTTCCAGGGGGGTACATCAGTTCATCTAGATATTAGCCTAGTTTTACAACAAGCTACATAAAAAGCATTAGCAAAGTCAGTACAAACTAAAATTTCATACAACGATTTGTTTATACTGCTCTATATACTATACACTGAAATGTAAGTACAATATTTATATTCCAATTGATTTATTTTATAATTATATGGTAAAATTGAGAAAAAAAGCAATTTTTCAGTAGTAGAGTGCTGTGACACTTTTGTATTTTTATGTCTGATTTTGTAAGCAAGTAGTTTTTAAGGGAGGTGAAACTTGGGGGTACGCAAGACAAATCAGACTCCTGAAAAGGTTGAGAGCCGCTGCCCTAAGCTATTTTTTCTGTAGCCCCAACCACACCTCCCTTCTCCCAGGGAGTGACTACAGCCTTTCTTCCAGCAGCTCTCAGCTACCAGGCTTTATACAGGCCCCCCCTTCTGAATCCTGTCCATCTGAGCCTCATTTAATTTATCCCTGCTCCCTGGCTCCTCCTCCATGTGCACCCTGAGGAGTTAATTGGCTCAGCTAGCCACCTTAACCCCTTCAGGGCTTGTGTTGGGTGGATACCCCAACACAGTGAGCAATGGTGGCTGTACTAAATGTTTCCCCAAAGGGAAGATGGGGAAATTTAGGAGGAATGTGTTAGTGTTAAGGTCACCACTAAGTAAGTTGCTCGGTCTTTGTGTTCACCCTGTTGCATTACCTGCAAACAAACAGACCCTCAGTTAGTTGAAAGGTCACAAATTTGAAATTGATAAAAATAAATATTTTAATGCAATGTGCAACTCACTGATACATAAGATTATGGAGGCTAATAACTCAAAAAGACTAGATGGTACTCAAGTCTGACCCATTATGGCACTCCTTTGTTTCCTGCACTGGGTCTTTTATATGTGTTGCTGTGAAGAGAACCAACACAGAGCACCATTTCTTTGCATTCAGGGGTGTAGAGTCCTCCATGAGGCTTTTCCATGGCCTGTCATCTTTTCCAACACAGCAGAACTGCTGTGTCTATACTGTGTAACCCTTCTGCCAGGCCGAGTTGATAGCGGCAAGGGCCGGGTTCAGTACACAGGGGTTCCCTCTCATCAAAGCAAATGCAAAACTGGCTCAAGCCCCCACCCAATGACCTGAGAAAATCTTACACACACCCCTGGGCACCTCGAAGAGGCAATACTTCCCCTCTCGCAAGCACAGAGTCTCGGTGTAGCAGAGAATCTTTAATTAAAGATGAGGTAAACAACATCAGCATTAAATTGGGAGAACACCACAACTAGGGTTCATCAACCAAACCATGAGCAAAGCCCCACCCCAGCAAATTGGGCCATGTCCTTTCCCTCGGGTTCTTGGGTCCCACAACCCAAACGCCTCTTGAGTCCAGCGATCCAAAAATCACCCGAAGTCCAAAAAGTCCAACATCCCAAAGTCCAGCCCCAGAGTTCAAAAGTTCATCTGCAGAGTGTTACTCCTCAGTCTGGGTGAAAATGTATGTGTGTGGGGAGGGGGTTGGGGGGGAAGAGGTAAGGGGCACCTTATGTGATCTGAAGCTGACTGCCCCACAGCTCCATAGGGCTTCATTCTGCTCCGCTCCACCAGCCGTCCCATGAACTGCTCCGCATCCCACAAGCAGCTCCCGCTGTCCCATGAACTGCTCCACCAGCCAGTCCACAAACTGCTCCACTCCGCTCTAGATCTTCAGGCTCCCCACTACTTAACACAGTGCTCAGCTCTTAGTAATTTTAGCTCTTTAGTGATTTCAGCTTGTAGTAGTGGGAGCCTCAGTGCTGGCGCACCATAAGGCCAAAGGGAATTCAGCTCAGCATCTGTAGCTAGACTCCTAATAGACCCAAAATTAGCTCTGATGTTCCACAGCGGAGAGAGACAGAGGTGCAGTTGATGTTTCAGGCCCTCACAAAGGGGCCCACACCACCAGGTACTAATACCTGTCTCCAGCCTCTCTCCAGTCACAGAGTTTTGGAACCCATATAGCTTGCCTAGCAAGTGCTACTTAGTTGATGGTGAGTCCCTCCATCATAACAAAAGGCCAAGTACAGTTCCACTGTCCTTGATTCCCATAATCAGGGTAATAACAATTTATTCTTCCTGCCCCAATAACAGAGACACTGGGGATCCCACAGAAGCCAAAGTGACCATTTGGGCAGCTATGGCCTCATTCTAGGTGGGGTGGGTGTGCCTATGCAAATGAGATCGGCCCATGAAGTTCTTTTCCACAACTTGCCACACCTCACCACCAAATGTCAGGGTGGAGCTCATCCTGACTCTGTTTACAACTTTACCTAAACCTTGCACATCTGGGCAAGGATATTAGCTTGGCAGGATTTCCCTCTCACTATATAAGAACAGCATCTGCCATTACTAGTCTTTCTAGAAAACAAATGACAAAGTTTTTGATTCTACACAGTGCTGAGCATTCTGGCCACAATTGAGAAAATACTTGGGCAGTTTTTAACTTTAAGCATTTGAGTTATTTCATTAAAGGCTATGTAAATTATACTATGGGGAAAAGTTTGTCTACATTTAATTAAAATACACATGGTATAGTACCTTATAGTCCTTATATATTTTCCCAACTCTTTCCCCAGCTGCTGTTCCTGTTTTATTCAGTTTCTCCTGCTGCTCAGAAAGCAAAATGCATGACTGTAGGCGCGTTCGGCCAGGGGTCATCACTCTCCGGGGCGGCGGGGAACCAGACCACCTCACTACTTCTGTCAGGTATGTCGGGGAATTAGCCTGCCTGAGCAAAGAGTTCAATAGCAAGGCCCTGGCTCCTGGCTCCGAGCAGCCTGGGAGAGGGGGAGACTGCCACCCGCGAGATGGGTGGCAGAGGGGACGCAGGCCCACCCACTCCACTGCATCTCAGCCTGGGGCCCTAGCAGCGACAGAAGACCCACTGCTGTGTCAGTGGGGTTCCTGGCCTCAACACACTGACATTGGCTCTGGCAGTGTTGCAGCCTGACTAGGGCCAGCTGCCCCTGGGCTACTTCCTACCTCCCCCTCTAGAGGTACATGAGTCCGGCCAGCGTCCTCCAAGGGGTTACACACCATGGGCTCCTCAGGGTAACTGGTGCTTGGTTGGCTTGGTGGCTCCTTGGGGTAACTGGCGAACGACAAGCTTGGCAGCATCTCTAGGCTCAGGCTAGCATCAGGCATTGGCTGGTCTGGCCAGTCCTCGGGTCGGCCGCCGATTGCCACAGTCTCCCATCTGGGAGCTCTGCCACATGCATCTGGCCTCTCCAATAGCTGTGTTTCAACTGAGCCCTGGGGTCAGGCTTTTATACTTCTGGTCCTGTGCCTTGACCTCTGAGGGGCGGGTGCAGGGTTCGCTGGCTCCGCCCACTTTGGCATCCAGAGAGGCTCCTCACTCTCTGGGATGGCGGGGAATCAGACCGCCTCGCTACAATGACATAAAAACCTAAGAATGGCCATACTAGGTCAGACCAACGGTTCATCTAGCCCAGTATCCTGTCTTCCAACAGTGACCAGTGCCAGGTGCTTCAGAGTGAATAAACATAACAGATAATCAAGTGATCCACCCCCTGTTGCACAATCCCAACTTCTGGCAACAGAGGCTAAGGACACTTCAGAGCATGGTTTTGCATCCCTGCCATCCTGGCTAATAGCCAATGATGGACCTATCCTCCATGAACTTATCTAGTTCTTTTTGAACCCTGTTATAGTCTTGGCCTTCACAACATCCTCTGGCAAAGAGTTCCACAGGTTAACTGTGTGAAGAAATACTTCCTTTGGTTTATTTTAAACCTGCTGCCTATTAATTTCATTTGGTGACCCCTAGTTCTTGTGTTATGAGGAATAATAACACTTCCTATTTACTTTTGCCACACAAGTCATAATTTTATAGACCTCTGTCAATCCCCCCTTAGTCGTCTCTTTTCCAAGCTGAAAAGTCCCAGTCTTATTAAGCTCTCCTCATATGGAAGCTGCTCCATACCCCTAATCATTTTTGTTGCCCTTTTCTGTACCCTTTCCAATTCCAATATATCTTTTTTGAGATGGGGCGATCAGAATCTGCATGCAGTATTCAAGATGTGGGCATACCATGGATTTATAGAGAGGCAATATGATATTTGCTCTCATATTCCCTTTCTTAATGATCCCCAACATTCTGTTCACTTTTTTGACTGCCGCTGCCCACTGAGTGGATGTTTTCCGAGAGCTATCCACAATGACTCCAAGATCTCTTTCTTGAGTGGTAACAGTTAATTTAGACCCCACCATTTTATATATGTAGTTGAGATTATGTTTTCCAATGTGTGTTACTTTACATAACCTCTTATTCCAGAGTTCCTGTTAATGCTTATTATTCTGGCAGGAATGCCCTCACAACTGCTTCCCCTTCTTCCATCAAATGACCCTGGAGACCAAAGTACTGATTCTTTAAGGGGATCAGAATACTTTTGATTCCTACTAAGTGGAGTCAGGGGGAGCTGAGGGTGATGAGCTCAACCCCCACCCAGGTGACTGGTAGTCAAGAAACCTAAAGAGTCATGTACACCACAGAAATAGTTTAGCTTTGTGGGACAGCAGTATCATATGCTATTGCTTTACAATTTCAAGAACAAAGGTTTTTAAAAGTCACTTTAAAATGGTGCTGCTTCATACTTTCATTTTGTTCTTATTATGTGTCACATTGCTATATCCCATACCATCTATCACATGCAGAATTTGAACACTCAGCCAATCTCAGCCAATTATAGCCCACTGACAGGACAGAAAAGCAAGCACAGGCTACTAACATGACTGTGAGTGGGTGGAGGAGCAGACATTGCCACAGGCTTCCAAGTTAAAAAAATGATTACTCACCTTCTCATAACTGTTGTTCTTCGAGATGTGTTGTTCATATCCATTCCAATTAGGTGTGTGAGTGCCGCGTGCACAGTCATCAGAATGTTTTTCCCTTAGCAGCATCCATTAGGTCAGCTGTGGAGCCCCCTGGAGTGGCGCCTCCATGGCAGTGAATATAGGTACCTGCCAACCCGCTGCCTCCCCCAGTTCCTTCTTGCCGGCTACTCCAACAGAGGGGAAGGTGGGGATTTGGAATAGATATGAGTTGCACATCTCGAAGAACAGCAGTTACAAGAAGGTGAGTAACCAGTTTTTCTTCTTTGAGTGTTTGCTCATATCGATTTCAGTTAGGTGACTCCCAAGCCCTACCCCAGAGGTGGGGTCGGAGTTATGGAATCGCTGACTGAAGCACCGCTCTGCCGAATGCTGCATCATCTCCAGCATGCTGAGTGATGGTGTAATGAGAGGTGAATGAATGAACCAAGGACCATGTCGCCGTCCTTCAGATCTCTTGAATAGGGACCTAGGCAAGGAATGCTGCCAATGAGGCCTGCACCCTTGTGGAATGCACCGTTAGTGCCAGGGCTGGAACCTGGGCTAACTCGTAACAAGTCTGGATCCAGGCCCTCCTGTCCTTCCAGCTCTCTGGTGTCATCCTGAGATCCTCTGTGATGAGGCCGGGAGTCCTTTCATCCAGTCTGCCACTGCTACGAACAGCTGGTTTGACTTCCAAAATGGTTTCGTGTGCTTGATGTAAAAAGCCAGCGCTCAATGAACATCCTGTGTGTGGAGCCTCTGTTCTAGGCTACTGTTGTGAGGCTTAGGATAGAATACTGGTAGAAAAATGTCCTGTGTGGTGTGGAATTGGGACACCACCTT